CAGTATCGGACCGATACCGATACGTAATATCGGATTGGTCCATCTCTAGTACAAAGCTTCACAGTGGGTCTCTAACAAAGCTCAAACTCTGCTTTTCAACACTTGAGTAGCACAGGTGAAAAAGGAACTCAAACAGTGTTCTGGTGAAACAGGTGGAGGTTTTCTTGAGGCCTTGAAAACAAAGACAGCTGAAATATTTTCAGTCTCTATGTGTTTATTAGAGATGATACAATGTTGGTCTTTTTGACAGTTGTGCTAAACAAACAGAAAACAAGACTTCAACAGATCGCCTTAGTAACTCTGGTGTCCATTTTCTTGTCCTATGACAGCTGTGAGTGGGGTAATGACAGCTGAGAAATCTGCAAGTCCACAGAATCCTCCACAGCATATGTTCACATTATTTTCATACTCAAACATGTCAGTGAGCCCTAATGCTCTGTAGTTGGGGGCACTGTCACTTTGCAGTAGACCAGGATAGGAACATTTCAAAGGATACAGGTGATCACTTGGAACTCGTCCCTTTAAGGGACAAGTAGAGGTAAATCATGCCAGTGAAATGCCCCTCACGTTATAATAGAAAGACCAGGTTTTTCCTTTAATTTGTCAAATTTTGTGTGCATATACATTTTTCCCTTTTCTCCGACACGGCTACTCTTACAGAGATATGGCCGTCTCACAGTCAAACAGCCCACACTGGTCCACAGCCATGCCTTGCTACCACACGGTGCCAGGATCAGCGTAACCAGTTTATCACTACCAAAATGTAAAGAAGTGAAAAACATAAGTTAACATTACACTACCCAAAATAATACAGTTCCCACTCTCCCAGTTGGTTAAGTTCAGTTGACATCTCCAAACTGCCCTGAGGTCATCAGGGCTACGACAGCTTTGATACTCAAAAGACGAAGCCTGTGGTTTAAACTGAAGTTTGAAAGACAGCAGACTTATAGCAGCCTTTGATAATAATACATTTTAAAATTCTGTCACTTTTGGATCCTAAATCACTAGAATTTAGGAGAGCATTTGCCTTTAAACAAATATTTTAGTTTAGAAGTTGACCATTTTCTTCATGCACTCTAGTCAGCTAGGATCTGAGAGCGTTCCAGCTTCAGTGTTGTCTGTTGATGTTGGGATGTACAAAGACGTGGCCAAGGTTTCGATCAGCAGCTACTGCAGAGAGCTATCCCTGACTACAGACTAAATGACAGAACACAACACTGGCAGATATCCCCAAATATCCTTTTACAGCACATCAAATAGCTGAAAATTGAGTTCCAACGAAAAAATCTGTACTCATCAGTGTTTAGTGTTTCTTTACTTGCATAACATGGAGGGTATATTTTCAAAAACTTATCTGCAGAGTTGGAAAACAGCTGAAAGTTGGAAAACTGCCATCCTTCAAAAATCAGCTTTCCCTTGGCCTAAATAAATCAAGTGGAATAAAACTGCTCACTGTCAGGATGCTGGTGGCAGGCACAGCATGGACCATAACTCTAAAAACATATTTACACTGATCTGTCATCAACTCAGTTCCATTTCTGTCTGTGACTCTTGTTCACTGACTGGAGAGCTGAGGATAAACTGCTTCTGCCCCCAAACGTAACATATACAAGCCTTTTTAAAAAATAGACTGCTTTAAAATCATCTTTGTGTGGGGTGTGTGTGTGTGGTTGTGCGTGTTAGTCCCGTTTCCAGTCGCAGACTTCACATGTGCACACACTGAACTTCTCTCCTCATTAATGCCGTCTACCTGTTCTTTATGCTCTGGACCTGATGCCCACCCACTTCTCTGGATCCACAGCCAGCGGGTACAGCATGAACCTCATATGCAACACGGAGGCTAAAAGCTGTCTGGGAGGTTGGTGAAAGGTCAAGAGGAGGCGGTCTGCTGGAATCGTCTCAAGCAGTGACCAAAACATTAAGATCAGATTGTACGGTCTTTTTTCACGGAGCACAGGCACTCTTAACATCTGCTCAAGCATTGTAACTTTGATAGTGTGTGTTGCTGCCGATTCCAGATCAGGTAGTCCAGTCTCGTCCGGAGCCAAATGTTGACTCGACCACAGACTCTAGTCCAAGCTTTTCTGCAGTGTGTCTGAGCCTCAGCTCCAGCTGGTGCTCTGGAGTTCTTGGCGGAGCCAGGATGGCAACGGCTGACCCAACCGGCTCAACAAACGCAGGAGATCCATGTTGTGCTCATGGTAATACTCTGCTAGAAAGGCACGCGACTGCAAGAAAATGCACACAGGCACGCACACACACAGACACACACAGACACACACACACACACACACACA